GTCATGAGACATAGTGTATGTGAACTGATGTATGGAAAGTGAATTTGCTCTGTAAATTTTCACCCAAATCACAATTTTTTAAAAAAATGATGTTTAATAATCAAACAAATGTAAATTAGAGCAATCATTTCTTCATCAGAGACCACCCTTCCCACACCTGATTGATCAGAGCCTAACACTGATATTCTGCAGGTGATTAAAATTTGTACCACATTTCTGAAGGACAGCTTGGAAATATATCATCAAGTCTTTTTTAAAGTACATATTCTTTTATTCAGAGATTTTAATGTCTTAGAACTAATCCTAAGGAAATAAGTGATTAAATATGTAATAGGATGTTCATGACAATGTTATTTATGATAATGTCTTCCAAAAACTAGAATGGATCCAAATACACATCAACTAGTGAATGGCTAACACTACAGAGTAATAAAAATGAGACTGCCAATACATGTAAAATGGATAAATTTCAAATACATTATGCTAAGTGAAAGAAGCCAGACTTAAAACGTTACAAAATGTATAATTCCATTCCTAGGACATTCTGGAATAAGTAAAAGTACAGGAATATAAAGCAGATCAGCAGTTTCCAGGGTCTGATCAGGGGGGTAGGAGATTGACTATGAAGGTACACAAAGTAATTTTTTGGGTGGATGAAATGTTCTGTATTTTCATTATGGTGGTGGTTACATGACTGTATGCATTTGTCAATATTCATAGAACTATTCACCTAAAAAAGGTGAATTTATGTATGTAAATTATTCCTTAAAAAACCTGACTTTAATAACAAAATATTGTTTATGATAGTGAAAAACTAGAAACAAACCAAATATCAAAAAAAAAAAAGTGCCAGGAGGTAAAATGAATTGCTATAAAACCATTAAAATGACTCAGATGTATTTTATTGACATTGAAAAATCTGCACATTAGTTTAAAATACAGTATGTTTAGTGTGAGGATGTATGTAATAAACATGTCTGGAAGAATACATACTTAAAAGTGTTAATAAGGACTTTCACTAGGTGTTGAGATTTTATCTGATTTTTAATTCTATTTTCTTTCTACTTACCTTTATTTTAAAAAATGTTTCTATTACTTGCTGTCTTTTCTCCTTTTAAATGGCAGTAGGAGTAGAAGTACTAATGTGGAGGATGGAAAATACTGGTTAGAAATTTGTTTCCAAACATTTCAATTCCTCCTTCCTACTCTTTATGACCACTCGTGTGTCTGTGTGAGACAGCAAGTCTCAATTGTTCAATATGTGACAATGGAACAAAAAATGCACCCAGGCCATTTGGAGGTACAGCCTGGGTCCCTAGTTGACCCAAAGCAGATGTCAGTAAGAATGTGAAAGAAAAATTCACTTTGAATAAATTGCAGAATGATCTATTTTTTAGTAGTTATGCAATTCTTTACTTTTTTCCAGATACAGCCTTTTCCATAACAAAAATTACCTGGTAATTAAAGAGCAGGAAAAACAGATTCACAGAAAAAATGTTCAAATTTCATCTCACTCTAGTGCCCATCATGCAACAGCCTTAAACAACGTATATGGGCTATCAGAGCTATATGATGAGATGTTTTATTCTAAAAGGAGAGGTTTACTTGAACATTTGTTTTTTATATTTTTGTTTTTTCCTTCATTCCATCAGCTTCATTGAAATATAATTTATATACAATAAAATTCACCAATTTTAAGTATTAAGTTTGATGAATCAGATACACAGTCCTGTAACCATCACCATAATCAATATACAGAATATCTCCATCAGCTCAAAAATTTCTTTTTGCCCTTTCACAGTACACTCCTTTCCTCCATCCCTACCCAGCAACTAGATATTCACTTCCTAATGTTAAAGCGAGAGCTCTGGTAGCATAGTGGCTAAGACACTTGCCTGCTAACCAGACGGCTGGCGGTTCAAACCCACCAGCCACTCCTCGGAAGGAAGGTTGGGCAATCCTACTTCCGTAGTGATACTGCCTCGGAAACCCAAGGAGGGGTCGCTATGAGTTGGGGCCGACTCGACGGCACATAACAACAACAACAACGTTAAAGAAGTTTAACCTTTTCTAAGTTTTCATATAATGGAATCATAAAGTACTCTTTTGTGTCTAGTTACTTTGTCTGGGTATAATGCTTTTGTGGTAGTTGTGTGCCAACTTGGCTGGGCTGTGATTTTGAGTGGCTTAAGCCAGCTGGATGTAGTTATTCCCCACGATGAGACTGGATGTGGTGTAATCACATCTGTCTTAGGCTGGGTTCTCTAGAGAAGCAAAACCAATAAAGTTTAGAGAGAGGGACGGAGAAATTTATCGTAGGAAAATGGCTCACACACAGTTATAGAAGCTGGCAAGTCCTAAGTTCCTGGATCAAATATCAAGCTGGAGGCTTTTCTCAACACAGTCAGCTGCAGGAGCTGATGAGCAAAAGACTGCCAGGCAGACTAACAGGCCGATGATGAACCCAAGATCAACAGGCAAAATGGTGGATTGTTGGCTCACAGGACAGTTGTAGTCAGCACAACAAAATCCAGATCCACAGAAGTTTCCTGAATTTTCCCAGGATGTCCATTTATATATTGGAAGCAGGCCACACCCCTAAGAAAACTCCCTTTCAACTGACTGGCTGCTCAAAGTATACTCATTAGATCTCATCATGGGAACAACTACATCATGGGAACAACCACATCCTAATTGCTTAAACCACTCTGAGTCATGGTGCAGCCAAGTAGACACACAACCTCAACTATCACAACCTTCATGCTGGAATCTGCTATGAACAGTTAGTTGATGGTGAGTTGGCTTTGAGAAAGTTCTCTAGTTTTTCGTTCATTTTAGGATTCTGCATTTGGCTGCTTCATCATCTCCAGTTCCTGGACTTGAACCAGTGACCTGCTGTGTTGCCTGCCAATCTTGGATTGTTGACATTATAGCCTGTGAACCAACAATTTGCCATTTTACCTGCGCAATACTAGGTTCATCAGCCTCAGCAGCCAACAGCTGTGTGAGTCAGGAGACACCTCCAGCTTGCTCCAGTGGTCCTGGAAGGCAAAGCTGAAGCCCAAGATCAAGGGGCCTCCACCTAGCCCCTGGAGCCAGCACTATGAACTCAGACTTGTAGCCTACTCTTCCCATAAAGCCAGCGTTTGGAATTCAGACTTCTAGCCTCCTAAACCATAAAAGAAAAAATTTCCTCTTGTTAAAACCATCTACTTGTGGTAGTTCTATTATAGCAGCACAAGAGAACTGAGCAAGCTTTTGATATTCATCCGTGTTGTTGCATTTATCAAGTCTGTTCCCGTTTATTGACAGTATTCTCATGTATGGATATACCACAATTCCTCTACCCACTCATCTGCTGATGGGCATTTGAGTTATTTCAAATTTTGGCTGTCATGAATAAAACTGCTATGAAAAATTAAACACAAAACTTAGGCTTTACTTTCTCTTGTGTAAATACCTAAAAAACTAAAAACCAAACTGGCTGCTGTCCAGTCAATGCTGACAAATGGTGACCCCTGTGTGTCAGCATAGAACTGTGCTCCATAGGGTTTTCAATGACTATTTTTTCATACTTAAGCATGAAGATATACAGATTCAATATTAACAAAAACTTGTATCTTTTATTGATTGTCCTGACAAAAAAGAAGAATGGAAACATTTCTTAGTCTTATTTAAAATAAATTTATGAGTGGATCTATTGTAAAACAGTTGAAGAATTAATATACACTAAGCTTTATACATTTTCCAGCTTTAAAGAGTCACATACAATAACATATATTCAATGTATTCCAAGACAATTTTTAACAGTAAGTAGAAGATACTGTTCCTTAGAAACTTCAATATTTATGAATCAAAACAATACATCCACATTATTATATGAACAAAGAAGTCACACGTTAGAAATTCTGTTGTGATTTCCTCTTAAGAACAAAGATGAGAATCTCTATTTTATAGGAACTCTATTTTGAAAAAAGATAATTTCAATCACTCCGTCTTACAAAGAAAGATATTTATAATGCCTACATGTTTCTCACACTAGTTATAATGTCTTCTTTAAGTGAAGAAGCATGTTTCTCAATTACTTACAAAATGTGAAACTATCCTAAAGTCACAACTTTGCCAGCATTATTTTTAGACTCAACTTGCATACAGAAATGTCTACAAAAGAAAATGTTAAGTATCAGAATCCAGGGATATAAGTTTTCACATTCAATAGTCCAGAGAATGCCAACAACAAATTACAGTCCTACAAAAATCAAAATTACAACTTAGACATAATTATTTAAATACCAATAATGCCACTTTAGAAGTTAATTACTACAGGTAATCACTGAACTAATCACATGCAGAGATTAAGAAAATATCGAGTTTTCCTACATATGTGAAGTTATAAAAATATTTATTTTACAATATTACGGTCTCTAGAGGGATATAAAATATAAACATGATGCTCCAAGAAACTGCAGTAATGACAAGGCAAAACTTTTACCTTAGTTTTAAGCTGCTTTCTGAAGTTTTAAGTCTCCATTTCACTGCATTAGTGAAAATACAATTTATCACAGACAGATTTTTGCAGCAAAAATGAAAACTTTTAGAAATGCATGAAAGAAAAAAAAACAGCATGAGAAGCGTCATGATATTATAAATTATTATAATCTTTAGGGTACATTTATTCAATATTTATAAATTCAGTGTCATATTTTATAAACTGTTATATAAAATGATTCTAAAAGTATAAATGAATCTTCATATTTATATCTAAATGGCTCTAATGAACAAACAATTCACCATCTCATAGCCTGATGCTGACAGGATCCAAAACAAAGTTGTGGTGTTTAAAACACATTTTACCCAATGCAAAGGAGGTGGACCCAGAGTGAAGACTGGGCAACACTAAGGCGCAGGTTACAAACTGTTACATAGTGGCTGTGGTGCCAGTCAGGGGGAGAGGACATACACTGTGTCACCCAAACCCCAGCATGGCTCCTCTGCCTCCATCAATGGACCCAATCCCTCGGATGGCGCAGAACTTCCAGAATTTCAGCTTCTCTGGAATTCTCTGAGGGTGAATGCATGTACTCCCACCTGTGCAGGACCAAAACAGAAGGGAAAAAATATAATAATAAAAGTAATAATTATACACTTATTTCCGACACACATACCCCTTTACTTCTTATTTCAAAATAAATGAAAAATCTCTAAATACATGAAAATTTCTAAAAGACTAAAAAATGTCTTCTCTTCTTTGTCTCCACTGTGTCCAACATGGTTTTCATCCAAAATATATGGATGCTGTGGTGATATAGTGGTTAAGCGCTTGGCTGCTAACTGAAAGGTCAGTGACTCAAACCCACCATCTCTCCATGGGAGAAAAGATCTGGTGCTCTGCTCCCGTAAACATCACAGCCTTGGAAACTCTATGGGACAGTTCTCCTCTGTCCTACAGGGTCGCTATGAGTGAGAATCAACTTGATGGCACACAACAACAGCAACAACAAAAGAAATAGCCCCTTAATAAATCTTGGGCATGTTGTAGTTAATAGGAATATCCCAGACCTAAAATATACTTTGCTTTAAACCAGGGTTTCACACAGTGTAGACTGTCAAATGACACGTGAACAAACTTGTGTTCACTTACTATTTATATATTTATGCAATGTGTTACTTTCTATATATGGTATATATTACTAACTTTTAAATTAAAGTAAGGATTTTCCTTTTTAAATTTTATTAAAAAAATATTTTGCTGAGGGAGTTCGAGCAAGATGGCAGACTAGGCAGAAAGACTGTACAGGCCCTCGTCAACAAAGAAAAGGGAAACCAATTAACACAGACACAGAAGATAATCCTGGACCTCTGATCCTTGAAGGGAAGGATATAGAAGTGGAC